AAGATCAAGCCTTCAAGTGACCAGGATCATACCAGTGATCCATTATTTATTATACATTATCAACTTCTTTGGACTCCATAGGCCAAAAACAATCCAAGATAAGCCGGCTAGGTGATGCCCCAGTTATCATGGTAGATTCTGACCAGGAGGTTTCCGTAGTTTGATTTTCATTCTATATACCAAGACTATGCACTATGTACTTTAAATGGTGTCAAAATCATTTTGTTTTTCTGAGAAACAGTGCTATAATTCTGTGAAGTGGCACTCTCAAACTGAATTCTCTGCTCCTCACTGGACTTTCATTTGCAGGAATCTTTCGTATGTCTATAGTATATCTGTTGTACTGAGATACATATAACCTCAATTATTTTATAACCTTAAATAATTATTTGTCAGAAATATTAACAGTACACATTAACTTAGCTAAGGAAAACTAATATATAAAACAACTGTTCTTAGAAAGCAGTAGTTTAGATAGTAGCCAGAAACAAACATTGCATTTATCTATTCTTCTTCATCATTTCTGTGCCCTCCCAAACGTGTTCCGCCCCTCTCCAGTCTTTTGGAGCAGATTTTGAAGATGTATGAGGGACTATAGATGGAAGGGAGAATTGCCCATCTCTTAGAACTGTTGAGTGAATGAGTTCATTGGATTGATTATGATTGCTTCATACATGATGATAGAAAATTTATCATTGCTTCATAAATATAGCTCTCAGTATATCATTTGTTTATTTGTTCCATTTTTATTTTATCAAGTATTCAAGGTATAAGTTATGTGTCACATTCATCCTTCAACAGGAGGTTAGTAAACCTTTTTCCTTATATGTGAGCAACCCAGCATGGAAAATCAGGAGCCTTTTCTGATGCTGGATTGATGCGTAAAGAATGTTAATGTTCTTTACATGCTTGGTGAAATTACAGCAAGGAAGCAGTAACAATGTACATGGAAGCAGGCTTTTGCTGATATATTTGTTCAGTGACCATTCAAATTTACGATGGCGCTGAATGAGTGATGCTTACAATGGATCCTCTTAGTTCCAGCCACCTCGGTGTCCTTGCGGTCATGTGATCACAATTTCCAACATTCCCTGCTGGCTTCCCACAACCAAAGTCAATGGGGAAGCTGGCAGGAAGTTGAAAGTTGTGATCATGTGAGGTCCTCACTCAGTGACCTGCACAGTTCTTGCTTAATGCTGCTGGAATTGCTGTTGCTAAGCAATGTGGTCATGTGATGTTGCACTGTACAACTGCATTGCTTAGTGACAGAAATTCCAGTCCCAATTGCTGTTGTAACCAGGGATTACCTGTAAGAGAAATCAGTACGATAAGTGCCACATGTGGTTTATCTGGCCTTTTTTTTTTTTATTTAAATGTATGATTAAGATACCATGTTCTGCACTGTGATCATAGTTATATTATTCTTTGCCTGAAGATGTGTAATCCAAATAGTTGGATGAAAGCAAATATAATCTGCTTTTTTAAAAATGTCAACTTCAACAGGATAAAGTAAATACAACACCCTAGGTAGCTTTTGGAAACAAAATGATCACAGTCTCCCAATTTTTTAATCAAGAAAGGTGTAAATATATATATATTTGGGGTGAAATATGTAGCAATTTATACTTGTTTTGATCTTCTGCTATAAATGCAAGTTATTGTCAATGAATAAAAGGAAAGAGGACTACGGGTAGTCCTTGCTTAACTATGGTAATTGGGACTGGCAACTCCATTGCTAAGGGACATGGTTGTCAAGCACTACGCCATGCGCCTCTTATGAAGTAATGAAATAAAACCTACTTTGGAATAAGTGACTTGAGTCCATTAGTAATCCTTAATTACTTCTTGTTTCATTTCTGACTGATTTTACTTGCAACGTTTGTGGCTATTGTGAGTTGGGGTGGTAAATAGTGTAATAGACTTGTTAGGGTTGGCAGAACTGCAGGGAAGCTAAATGTGCCATCTTTCCTACAGCATCTCACTTTCACCCCCTTACTTTTAAGACTATGAGTATTTATATTTTCCATCCTTCAAAAAGCAATGAATTATTGCTTTGAGGTATTTCTGCTTTTAAGATATTTTGTCCATTGAGAGTCTTGAGGCATTGTGCTTTTGTTACTGCGATACAGGTTCATTAATGACAGAGGTCTCCTATTCAAGCATACACGTAGTTTTTTTTTTTAAAATCATAGTAAGATGGGTGGAAGGAAGCGATCTCTTACATAGAATGCTGTGGTGTCATGGAGAACTTGAAATGGAATCCTGGTGCCTTTTTCATCCTTGCCTATAGGCTCTAAGCCAGATGCTCTATTCCATTTTTAACATTCCATGCTTGTCCTCCCCCTGAATATCTCCTCTGTAATAGCTTAGCATGAAATACTTGTGGTTACAGAATCTTAATGCTCCTACATGCCAGTAGCATGGAGAAAAGCCTGAAGACTTGTAGCGGTGTAACTGTATGTGGATTCAGGTAGATGCAGAAGGTAACACTGATCGCACAAAATGCCGGGCTTCTGTTTCCATGATTTGGCAGGCTGGAATATGTTTCATATGTAGGGACTCATATGAAATGGAAGCCACTCTCTATTTAATAAAATGAACATGGATTTCCCAGTTTCTTGGAGATAGTCCCATCATTTGAACCAATTAGCTTAATCCAGGTTTATTTTATCAGAGAATTAAAAAGGAACTTAATTTCTTGAATAAAGACATATATCCCTACTAAACAACACTTTACTCCTTATAATTAATGTTTTTGTCCTTCTCTTATCAACTGAAAATTGCCTAGAATTATCTGTTAGTCATGATAGGAATGCTCAGTTAATTATTTACTTTTGTATTGATGACTACAGTGTCAGCTGAGAGAAGACAGGGAAATAGTCCAGTTGCTGATGATGAACCTTAAACTACCTGTTAATTGTAGCATATCTAATCTCATCAAAAGTTCACTGATTTTCCTTCTTATGTTACAGTGAATGAAGCATTTTCTCAAAAGTTTAAAGAGTTGCTGGGCATTTACTCTTAATCAGTGTGAGATTATCAATTGCCATATACATCTAGGTCACGATTAATGCAAGTTCAAATAATGCAATGTTCAGTTTAGTGCAAATTGTAAATTGATACCAGGTCGTGTTTAATGTAACCCAAACTTCAATTAATGTAGGGCTGCATGTGTAGTTGTGGTTGTGGTTTTAGACATTGCCAGTCGTGTGTGCAAAATGGAGAAAAGGAAGTTTCCATCAGAGGAAAACAGTACAAGATCAAAAAAGAAGAGGCTTGTTATTACATTAGAGCAAAAATCTGAACAACATGAATATGGTCATAACAATGCTAAAATAGGACGAGATGTTGGAATGCCTGAATCTATGGTACGCAGTATTATGAAACACGCAGGGGAAATAAAAGAAAAAGGTAAAGTTGCATCAGCTTTTTGTGGTCTGCAAATATTTACAAGGAATAGAAATGTTACAATGATAGAAACAGAGCATCTTTTAACTGTATGGATTGAGGATTACAATCAATATTAATATTTCATTAATATACATATAAACATTTATGTTTAAAAATTTTATTGCCTATTTCCATCAGGCTGGAACCAATTACCATGTTTTCCATAGAAATGTCACTTTGAATAATGTGAATTTGAATAATGTGACCATTTCGTGGGATTCATTATCCACACTAATCGGGACCTAGCTGTAGCCAGTTATCAAGTTAGCACTGTTCTGATATGGGCACAGTGCTGCAAAACAATTACAGCTTAGGGTCAGTAACATAAAACAACAGGAATAAGTTTGCAAGATTTTAGGCTGCTTTGCTTAACCCATTTTTGGTATTCATGTCCGTATCTTTTATCACCCTTAACCATTGCTTACATGTGCCTATTTTTGTGAACAGTAACTACAATATAGAATTCATTTGAGAACTCTAGTTAAGTTGGACTTTCATTCATACTGCAAAAGCTCACCTGAGAAGGGAAACCCACCCTCTGGGCTACTCACCATTTGATTTTCCTGGGCTCTAGTTTTCACCACACATTTCATGGAAGGACGTCACTAGTTTTCTTGCTTTGCTGTGTCTGGACTTCTTGAAGTGGAGTTCTCCTACATTTGATGCATGTATCTTGGCCGTCATATTTTATGAAGTCAATATATACAGAAAATATTCTGAATAACTATTTTGAAATCTAGATTTTTGTTCATTCACTTACAGTATTTTTTCCAATAATTTTATTAAGAATTATATTATACAAATAAAACTTATACAACTGCAAAATAGAAAAATGAATTTAAAAAAAGATTTAAAATTAAGAAAAAACGTGCAGGAAAATTAAAAAGAAGGAAAAAAGGGAAATAGAGAAAAATAGAAAAAGAAACCTCCCTCTTCATCCTCAGCAAGTATAATCAACATTAACAATTTATCACTATCTCTTAAAATACAACCAAACATCTCTTCAATCCATACTTCACCCCAGTTTCTACAAACCCATCTCTAGTACCTCATCTCTCCCTATTAAACAGCAAAAGACCAGTAAGGTTATCAGAAATAACAACACAAATATTACATATTATATCCATTACACCCAAACTGAACCCCTCCTTTCCATTTAAACAAATCCCCCCATTTCCTTTCTTCAAATAATCAAAATTCAGTCCCACTTAAAAAACAAACATTACCAGAAATAACCAGAATTAAAGAAGGCTCTGAGTAATTATGCTACTGTCTTGCAAGTTCACTATCTTACTATTGAGCATTATCTAGTCATAAAATTTAGTGATTTCAGTTCCCACTTAAATAAATGGAATTTTATTTGTAAATTTCTTATGCACATGCATGTCTTTCTTAGAAGAAAGTCCCATCGGATTCAGCAAGGCTTACTTTTAATTAAATCTATAATAGTTTTTAGGTTTAAGTGATTGGATTGTACTTCTAACAGAACTATTATAAACTGTTATGCTGATATTTGCATCCTCTTTTTTTTTTTTTTTATGTTTCTGAAGCTCTTAACATGGGGGATGTAAAACTGGTATCTACTCAGATCTCCAAAGCCACCTTGACTTTGAACCAATCTTCTCTAAGATCTCCAGCTTCAACAGAAGCACCAGCGTTTATTCGACCTCCACGGAATATCCAAGTGCCAATTGGAGGCACAGCAAAGTTTGAAGGACAGGTAACCAGAGCTATACTATACTATATTACAATCTGCTCTCTGGTAGTCTGAAGAGAGCAGGGGAAGTGTGTATCTATCTGTTTGTGTTTCTATGTATGAGAGTCATCTGTGTGTGTGTGCAAGAGAGAGGAAGAGAGAATAGTATGTAGTTTTACAGGCACTTAATGGGATGCTGTTGTTGTTGTTTTGTGCCTTTGAGTTAGTGTTGACTCCTGGCAACTGCCTGAAATAGTCTCTGTACTTTTCTTGGCAAGATTTCGGAAGTGGTTTGCCCTTGCTTCTTCCTAGGGCCAAGAGAGAGGGACTGGCCCAAAATCACCCAGCTGGCTTTGTGCTTAAGGTGGGACTTACAGTCAGGTCCAGAAATATTGGGACATCGACACAATCCTAACATCTTTGGCTCTATACACCACCACAATGGATTTGGAATGAAACAAACACAATGTGCGTTAACTGCAGACTGTCAGCTTTAATTTGAGGGTATGTACATCCAACTCAG